GCAGGGGCTCCCGGGAGGCTCCGGGCGAGCCGGGCAGGTGGCGGGCCGGGCTGGGCGACGTCCGGCCGGGAGCGCGCGGAGAGCCTGAGCCTGTCCGGCGCCGGGGCGAGCCGGGCCTGTGAGTCCCCCACCCCCGCGCTCCCGCATCCCGGGCGCTCCCGGCCTGCGTCCCTCCCAGCCCGGCCGGCCGCCGCCACGTAGCCGACCGGCCGGGACACTCGCCGGAGCCAAGGAGATCGGTGTCCGAGGCGGCGTGGGGGAAGGGGGCGTGCCTGCCAGCGCCCCCGACGGAACCCCAACTTTCCCCCTGTTCATCGGGCGGGCAAGACCCGGGAAGGTGCAGGCGACCGGGGCTCCTTTTCCTGCAGAGAGACGGATAATTTTTTTTGTTTTGTTTTGTTATAGTCCCAGGGAGATGGTTACCGGATTTTTGAGTATAAAAAAAGAAAAAATGCTTTGGAATGGTTGTCATCTCCATAAGAGTTTCCAAACTCTTCTTCCGTGTTTTCTTCCAAAACGGGAACATGAGCTAGTATGTTGTGAAACGCCGGGGATGGGGGTGTGTTGATCTTTTTCCCCAGTTACTCCCCCCGGAGACCTGGGCCGTCTGATGGACCCGGGTAGTTAAGTCAGTTAGAGGGACCCGAGCCGGCGCTGGATGTGCAATTACCGCTCAGCTCCCGTCCTGCTCGGAGAATGGGCAGCCCGGCCTCTCATCGCCATCAAATAATATATCCCCGGGGTTACTCGAGATCGCTTAATGAGATCTGTTAGAAACACAAGCTCTTCTTCCTGTTAGCAGACGAGGCATCTTTTCCCTGGGCGAACGTTATTGTCTTTGGGTTTTGTACTTAAGGGTCTTTTGACAGGACCCCGCACCTGCCCTGCGCGCACGGACATAAACAAAACAGTTTCGACTCTAAAAGCGTTGGTGGTTGTGTTTGTCCGCAGTGGTTTTCACATTTCAACGTGTAAATGATTAACCCTGACGCCTGTGCCGCCTTCTCGCAAGCACTGTCTTGACATAGTATGGTTTTTGCTGTCAAGCGTGCAACCCAAGAAGGAAATGGAAGCTTTAATGGGAACACAGGGGTTAGGTTTTTTTTTTTTAAGTATGTATTTGTGCAGGGAGCTTATTCCAGCATTTGGAGGAATGCTAGTTAGAAAAAAAAATGTAAACATAAGGAAAAGCTTGAGTGGGTTTTAGTGACTTTTTCTTTAATCGAGATAGGATATCTTATATTTAGTGTTATTTTTTACGAGAAGATGTAGAACATTGATAGAGGTGTTTTTGTTTATCATAAGTTTGGGATTGGAGTAGAAGAGAATGAAGGCAGGTTTTCAACTTTTTTTTTTTTTTTTCAAAGAAACGACAAAGGTATTTTTCAAAATTGTAATTTGTTCAGTATTAGGTTTGACTAACTATAATATATTCACTGCCTGTGTTATTTCTTTTTTTATTTTGTTTTTTAATTGATTTTAGAGAGAGGAAGGGAAAGGGAGAGAAAGAAACATTGATGTGAGAGAGAACATTGCTTGCCACCTGTAAGCACCGCAACCAGGACAAGCCGGCAGCCTGGGTGTGTGCCCTGACCCAGAACGGAACCCTGAGACACCTCCAGGTCTACGCTCCAGCCGACCGAGTCACATGGCCAGCACTCCCAGTGTTACTTCTGCTGTGGAATGATCTAGTTAAAACAAGTTAGAATTCACATACTTTGAAAATACGTTCATATTTCCTAGCTGTACGGTGTCCACTGTGTTTAAATTACTGATAAGAAGAGGATGCTACACGTACTCAGGATACATTGCTTTGTACTATAATTCATTTTTCTTCACTTAAATAGCATTAGAAAGTATTAATCCATAAGTATGAAAATAGGTTTATATTTATCTTTTCCACAGCAAGTGAAGATGTGAAAGATGTATTTGCCAGAGCAAGAAATGGAAAATACAGACTTCTGAAAATATCTATTGAAAATGGTTAGTTAAACATTTTTATATTTTGGTTGTCCTTGAATTACTGGGTGTTAGATTTTAAACTTCTAAGTCATTGTCCGTGAAGCAAGTTAAAAGCTTGCCTTTAGCTAACTTGGATCTTGTCCATTTTGGGCGTGTCCCATGGGCCTCTGCTTATCTTCTGAATTCTGAAGTTAACTTTCAGTGCAAGAGAAAAGATGTTTCAGAGAGGGATGGGACAGGGAGAGAGAGAAACATCAATGATGAGAGAGAATCAGTGATTGGCTGCCTCCCACACACCCCCTATTGGGGAGGGAGCCCGCCACCTGAGCCTGTGCCTTTGACCTGAATTGAACCTGGGACTCTTCTGTCCGCAGGCCAGAGACGAACAGGCCAGGGTGAGAAAGATGTTTTTTGTTGTGACCCCTTACTCTTTTACTTTTTGTCTCAGTTTCTGCATGTCAATCCATTTCTAATGTCAGAGCTTCTACCTCTGGAATGGAAATCAGTAATGGGATTATAAAAAAAAATAGTTATTTGTGAATAGTTATTTAGTGAAATTAGTTTTGAACTAGAGACAGAGGATTTCAAACTCTCCTGTTTTCTCCACTTGACTGCAGTCTGTGCTGAAGAAATGATTCCCCTTCTTTTGGGAAAAAGTTCTGAGAATGTAACAGACTTTACATTGATTCTTTCAAAATATATAATCGGAAAATTTGGGTGGAAAAATATTTTAATTCTGCTAGATTTGAATTTGAACAATTTATTTTATAACTACTTGATCACAAATGAACAGGTTAAAATATTCCATTTGCCTAATTTCATGTTTCCAACCCCAGCACATGCCCCCACTCCTCTAGTGTCTGTGTCCATTGGTCATCCTTATATATTGAGGTACATGGATACAAGTCCTTTGGTTGATCTCTTCCCCCCTTCCCTGCCTTCTTTCTGCGGTTTGACAGTCTGTCTGATGCTTTCATGTCTCTGGACTTATTTTGTTCTTTATGTTGTTCATTATATTCCGCAAATGAGTGAGATCATGTGATATTTGTCTTTCTCCCACTGCCTTATTTCACTTAGCATAATGCTCTCCAGGTCCATCTTTTAAATACCTTGAAATATTTTGCTTTAGAAAAATAACTTGTCCTCTCATAAATTGGAAGTAAATATATTTGCTCTCTATTTTCTACTTACATATTAAAAAGGCCAGAATAGTTTGAAAATATGCAGTTGTTTTACATATATTACCACACTGAAAAGGAATAAACTGTAAAGCAGCATATTTTAGAAATGCTGAGTTAAAATTTTAAATACCATCACTTCTTAACTGACTAAAGTGGTAAAGTTTGACTAATATCTCTAATACAGAAGGAAAATGACGCTGTTTCCTAAATCATTATTTTCTAGTTTTATTTTTGTCTTGAGAAAATCTTTTAAATGAGGAAATTACAAAGAATAAATATCAGAAATTATCGTTTGAGTGGTAGTACACTTATTTAAATATATTTTAAAATACTAAACATTTTAGGAAATATAACCACCCATTCTTCAACCATCTAGAACAACTATTTATGGTCATTTTTATCTTTTCCCTTTTTGTGTTTTTTATTAAACAACATTATTTTAACCATGTGAGTCATAACATTTTTGTATCGTTTTTTAATACTATTTTATATCATAATTATTTTTTGTGTAGCACCCATTTTACTTTCAACTTTTTGATGTGAATAATAGTAATCAGGAAATAACTAAATTTATTCTTATATTCTTTGTTACTCTATCATTTGGTTTTTCAAACCATTTATGTATTTTTAAAAAATTATTCTTCATAGAGAAACTTGTGATTGGATCGTGTAGTCAGCCTTCAGATTCCTGGGACAAGGATTATGATTCCTTTGTTTTACCCCTGCTGGAGGACAAGCAGCCGTGCTATATACTGTTCAGGTTAGATTCTCAGAATGCCCAGGGATATGAGTGGATATTCATTGCATGGTCTCCAGATCATTCTCATGTAAGTAACTTGTTTGTAACTTGTTAACATCAAACGCTAGAATTCTTTTTCTAAAATATTTCTAGGCTAAAAGAAAGTTAAGAAGCAACAATCATTTTCCATAGAAGAGCATGACCATGGAGAAAATCCTTGGATTGGTAATGTGGAATTAGGAGTAATGTGCTTAGATTCAGATGTCTTACCCTTGAAATCAATAGAATTATTATTGATTTGAACTTTAAAATCTGTAGAAATTATAAATTACTGTGGACCTCTAAAGAATAAAGCTAACTACTTTGGTCTGAGAGTAATAATTGTAATAATTCTGAGAATTAATTGAACATTACATTAAATATTCTTAACAGCTGCCATTCAAGTGATACAGGGTTTTTTTGTTTGTTTGTTTTGTTTTTTGGTAAAGTTAAAATTGACTAGATTGACTAATAAAACAAAAGACAAAAGTAATATATGGATACTACTAGTGCTAATGTTTTAAACACTAATTCTCTTGTTTAAAACAGTAATTCTCTTGTTTCTTGTAGAAAAACTACAATTTTTAAAGTTATCTAGATATCATTCTCAAAAGTTATCCTCCTCTTTAATTTCATATATCCTATCTGAAAGAAATATTGGATTTGACCATACAGGATTATGAATTGATTTCTGTTGGTGGGCAATTTCTATTGGTTTTCTGTAGATGTTATTAGAGTCTTTAATTATAGTATATATTGTAGTTCTTTTCATTTATGTTTCCCTCCTATGGGTATACCATAGGTATATCCCATATGTCCCCTATATACCCCACAAATACCATTGATATGTCATAAACATTTTATCTTAATTAGTAATATCTAATCTAGATTTGCTTTTAGTAATATGTCTGTAGCAAGGTTACTTCATTTCAATTTTTTCTTCCTCATATTTTAAAATAGTGTCTTAAGTAGGGTTTTTTTTTCTTGAACTCATTTCATACTTTAAAAAATTACTAATTCATAAAAATTTAGATTATTTTCTACTTTTTGAAAAGTAAAATCTACCTTAATAGCCCGGATAGTTTAGACACTGGTGTTATAATGTTTATTTGTAGATACATACTTTAATAAATTACAGTCAGTGGATTTCAGCTTTATTACAGTTCATTTTTAATGTGCTTGAAGATTTTAATATATTTAGAAAGTGCTTTCTTTTGTAATAGTAGTTTTTATCTATAAACTTGTAAGCAAACTTTTACATTTTAATAGGTTCGTCAAAAAATGTTGTATGCAGCAACAAGAGCAACTCTGAAAAAGGAGTTCGGAGGTGGCCACATTAAAGATGAAGTGTTTGGAACAGTAAAGGTACAAAACTTATACCTTTATAATTGTACCTGATGGAAGAACTCCTAAGTAATGGGTAATTGATATGAATTCAGATTGATGAATCTGTAAACAAGAATTAAGAGAGAAAATATTGCTATATTTCATATGATAGCTAAGTTAACTGAAACATTACACTTATCCTTTAAAAAATATTTTGGAATCTACTTTGTTAGACTTCAAAAACTAGAATATACCTCAGAGATGCTCTCATTCAACCCCTCATTTAGTTCAACCATTTCATTTTAATGATAGTGAAATAGGCTCAGAAAAATTAGAGACTACTTGATAAAATATTTTTTAGATATTATGGACATTTATACCCAAGTTGTGGAAGCAGTAACTGTTTTATTTAAATCAGAACATTGAGGCAGGTAAATTGGTTTGATAGTTAATTGGAACAATTAGTTGATTGATTAATGTACCGTATTTTTCGGACCATAAGACGCACCGGACCATAAGACGCACTAGTTTTTAGAGAAGGGAAATGAAGAAAAAAAGATTCTGAAACAAATAGTGTCCTAAAATATTTTATGTGCATTAAAACCCAACATCACAGTCATAAACACATGTAATCAACCCTGTAAAGTAAACAGCAGCATTTAGAACCATTTTAGAGCCGGGCAAGTAAAAAACCTTTTTTTTTAAAGTATATGTGTAGGCTATATTTGGACCATAAGACGCAGGGACTTTTTCCCCCCACTTCTGGGGGGAAAAAAGTGCGTCTTATGGTCCGAAAAATACGGTATTTTAATTAGTTAAATTATGATTAGGAATTTACTTTGTTTTAAAAGGAAATTGAAATATATTTTTTGAACAGGTTTTTTGGGTTTTTTTTGTCTCAAGTTTTACATATGTCTCCTTTTCCCCCTACTGACTCCTACACACACATACCCCACCCCCAGCCATTCCCAGCCGGGCAAGCCTCACCACCGCGGTGTGAACACGGTTTTGTTGTCTAGACCTTTGTCTAGACCTCTCTCCTGTTTCAGAAAGTATTATAATCTGGGATATAGAAAACAAGATTAAAAGTGATTGCTTATTCGTCATTAATTGTAAAATAGCTTCATTTTTAAATTCTATCCTCGGTCTTCCAAACCACAAAATTCTGATAAAGAGTAGACTTCTGGATTATTTTTTTCTTTGAAATAAAGAACTTTTATTATTCTCCATGAATGATTACAGAGGAACTATGTCATCATGATAAGAATTCATAACCTGGATATGTTGATTGTTAAATAATTACAGGGCAGGCTTCCTTTAGACTTACAGCATGACTGGTTCATCCTGTGGCTGGCCCTCACCATCAGCACACTCATAAAAAGACTTGGTAACTGTAAGACTTTAGGACATGAAGAGTAGATTGTCTGAAACCTATAGAATTTGAGGATTTAAAAAATAAGGAAAAATAGTAGAATTTTTGATAGTTTTATTTTCAATGAAAAATTTTTCTTTTCTGTTAAATTGACAATTTGCACTGAGGTTTGACTTAAGGATAACTAATAATAGTGCATTTCTTTGCTTATAGGAAGATGTGTCATTACATGGATATAAAAAGTACTTGCTGTCACAATCTTCTCCTGCCCCATTGACTGCAGCTGAGGAAGAATTACGACAAATTAAAATTAATGAGGTAAATTGCCATTTTGAAACTGTTGCAAGCTTTTAAGTGTTTGGAAATATATTATTAATTAATAATAGACTAATAGACATAGAGATAACTAGACAATAAATAGATTAGGTGGCTTACATTATTCTCCTTAGTTTAGAGACAAGACTGCTCAATGTGTTTTCAGGAAAAAGGTTAAAAGTGAATATTAAACTTCATGCCAATTTCATGAGTAGCTTTCTTTTGTCTTTATATTGTATGTGACAGAAGAGTAAATCTTCCTGTTGTAAGCACAATTGTTTTTAACTTTGTACTTTAGATACTACAATATGGAAAAAGTATATGTTACCCATTTAGTGCAAGGAATATTACATATATTGAGTTTCCCTAAAGCAGGTTTTTTTTATGTTATGTCAGAGAATAGTGATGACTAAAGAGAATAAAATATAAATGCTATAGGATGTTAAGGAGTTCTAGAAGCTCTATAAACTAACTTCTGTGAATGCTACTTGGATGGTGTTTATATATATATACTTATTTAGCATATTTGAGTTAATAAATTCCATATTATAGTTTATCATTTTTAATGTGTTTACTGCATCCATTCTAATTACAAGTTAGAAAAAGCTATGGTATTTCTACTGGAATTTATAGAAAAGAACAAGTAAAAAAAAAAACAAAAAAAACCAAATAGCAGAAGCTACTATTCATTAGTCTGATTAACAGACTAATAGGAGTAAGTCTGGAAAGGATTGAATATTCTTTAAAATAACCTGATAGCAAGGATCTATTTTTATATTAACTCAAGTAATTTGAGTAGGTACTTTATGTGATTTTTTTTTTTTACAAGTTTGATAGTTTGTTTTATTCCTTGCAATCAGAACCCAGAGGATCATATTGGGGTATGCATTTGCACATGTTCTATAATGTTTTCATTACCCAATATCATTTATGCTGTAGAATCTCCATTCATTTTTTTTGAAGTAGAACTTCTATTTGATTTTTTGTTGCAACACTGCAAATGAGACCCTATATAAGCTATCATTTATTGAGTATAAAAGTCTTAAACATGCATTGAAAGCTTTCTTGAAGTACTCTTCTTCCAATACATGTACGCCCATGTTCTTAGTAATGAAAGCTCTGAGTCTGGAACTTCTGCAGTAGTATACTTTGTTGAGCTGTGTGTGTGTGTCTTTGTATACTGTGTGTACTCCTTTGAATTTAGTGCATGGTATTTGTGTTACATTTTATGTCTAGCAGAACAAAATAAAGCTCTATACATATTTTATATATATGTTACTATCCATAAATCTTATCAAGTAAAATTTGATAATTAAACATGTAATATGAAGACACTTCAGAGAGCTGATGTCGCTCACTGCAGTTGTGCCAAACGTAAATTAAAACCCCATTAACACTTACATTCACTCCCCACATTTTCATAGAGATGTGTCATGCACTGTGCATGCTGACAAAGTGCTAGCAGGACATTAACAAATGTGAAAGATCACTTGCTTTTTCAGTTTGTAGTGTTTTAAGTGTTCATTTTAATTACATTGAAATGGGCAAGGGTGGAATGACACTTTATAGAAGTTGGGATTTGTTATATCTGCCATATGACACGGCTAAATGCTGAAAATTTATCCGTACATTAAATCTGTCATACTTAGGTACAAACTGACGTGAGTGTGGACACTAAGCATCAAACACTGCAAGGAGTGGCATTTCCTATTTCTCGAGAAGCTTTTCAAGCTTTGGAAAAATTGAGTAACAGACAGCTCAACTATGTGCAATTGGTAAGACCTATAATGATTATTATGAAATGACTACTCTTTTTTGATAGCTTATGGCTTAGAGAAGGTATGTTTTTAATAGATTTTCAAACTGTTTTATTTGCTGCCTGATTATTCTTACCCATATTTTTCAACTTTAAAAGCAGTATATAATACGTTCATGTGAAAAAGTCAAACGTGTATGTTTCCCCTTGTCTCCTGGTATTTTAATTATCACTTTTAAATATCTTTGTATCTGTTTTAATGAGTATACTTTGTTTCTTATTGACAGGAAATAGACATAAAAAATGAAATTATAATTTTGGCCAACACAACAAATACAGAACTAAAAGATTTGCCAAAGAGGATTCCCAAGGATTCAGCCCGCTACCATTTCTTTCTGTATAAACATTCCCATGAAGGAGACTACTTGGAGTCCATAGGTATGTGACACATTGTTTTTAACATGTTGCTTATTTCTTGCCCAGAAGGCTTGTTTATAGTTTTATGAGGTTTAGTATTTGCTTTAATTGCTATGCTGCTAATTGTATTTATTGTTACTTTTTAACACAGTTTTTATTTATTCAATGCCTGGATACACATGCAGTATAAGAGAACGGATGCTGTATTCTAGCTGCAAGAGTCCTCTGCTAGAAATTGTAGAAAGACAACTACAGATGGATGTCATTAGAAAGGTATTTGCCTACCTGCTTATGTAATTTATTTTATCTAATTTATCTTATCAATAGTTATCCAATGCCTGCCTATTTATTTAAAGGTTTTTAAGTTTCTGCCAAAACCAGTTTGGCTCAGTGGATAGAGCGTAGGCCTGTGGACTGAAGGGTCCCGGGTTCGATTCTGGTCAAGGGCATGTACCTTAGTTGCTGGCGTTTACCCAGTAGGGGGTATGCAGGAGGCAGCTGATTGTTGTTTCTCTCTCATTGATATTTCTTATTTCTACCCCTCTCCCTTCCTCTCTGTAAAAAATCAATAAAATATATTTAAAAAAAGAAATAATAACAAATAACCTTTAAAAAAATAAAATAAATAAAAGTTTTTCAGTTTTTGCTAGATTTGTATTGCCTTTCCACGTAGTTTGTGATGTGTGATTTATAAATAAAAGCTTTTTCTTGTTCTCATCATAAATCATTAGGATCTCCTCCACTCCTATCATGATCTGTCTCCCTATAGATCTATAATATGTAGCCACAAACTGTATGTGGCTACTTAAATTTTAATATAAATTAAAATTAAATTTAAAATTTAGTTTCTGAATAACACTGGCCACATTTCAAGTGCTCATTAAGGTTTTGCATGGTGTACTTTTCATTTTGCATTACTCTTTACTCATTTCTTCTTTTATAGATTGAGATAGACAATGGGGATGAGCTAACTGCGGACTTCCTTTATGAAGAAGTACACCCCAAGCAGCATGCACATAAGCAAAGTTTTGCAAAACCTAAAGGTCCTGCAGGAAAAAGGGGAATTCGAAGACTAATCAGGGGTCCAGCTGAAACTGAAGCCACTACTGATTAATATCATTATATTAAGTGTTACAATACTAGTTTTTTAAAAGTCCAACTTTTAGTACAGGAGAACTAAAATCATTCCATGTTGATATGTAGTAGAGAAAAAAATTGAACTTTTTGAAAAATAGCACTTTTCACTTCTGTGTGTTTTTAAAATTAATGTTATAGAAGTCTCATGATTTCTATTTTTGAGTTGAAGCTAGAAAAGGGTTCAATATAGTGATGTTTAATTTTGTCACAGTTTTCAGAGTGATGATTCCACACTTTCACAGAATTCTTCAAGTTTTATACAGTTGGGCCAATTCCAGAAAGTCTAATGTCTGAAAGTAAGATGTACTTCTTATTACTATGTAGTGATACATAAACTTTTTTCTTTAAGGGAGAAAGGCCTTAAAATATTCATACTACTTAAGGATTATGTAATACCTTAATCAATAAAGAAAAAAAAGGTTAGGTTATTTTCTAAACTGAAAATTAGTGTGCCTAAGAAGAGGTGGAAACTTGCTTACTTTGAGGAGCAGGCTAACTCTCAGAGTGGGATCATGTTTGCAACTTTTAGAAACAGTACTTTCTTGCAGCAGTTATTTCACTTTTTGTTTTTTTAAATGGCATTAAAATTTCAGAAGATCAGCTCACTCTGAAACCTTAAGGGTACAAGAAATTTTCTGTACTGCAGGATTTCTCATGTAATTGAAAGACATATTTATACAGCTTTAATAAATTCTCTTTCTAATGCTTTAAAATATTTCTATTTCAAAAGTAAGTCATTTCATTGTAAGTAGTGAGAGGTCAAATATTTACGTTCAATTGAATGTAATATATTATTAATATAATTCCAAAGCAAATATTTAAAGTAATATTGAAAACATCAAGATTGATTTCTCTACAAAACCATATATTATAAGCAAATTGTATTCTCTATCACTTTGGAACAAATATTCAGATTTAAAGTCCCAGTAGTTGGCCTAACACAGATGAACCCTAAAGAATCTTGTTTCAATTTACATCTTATTTCAAGACACATTTAACTGTTTTTCCAAAGCTTTGCATTTTTATCTACAACCTACAGAGATTTTGAGCCTCATTTTTTCTTTGATACTTGAAATAGAGGAAGCTAGAACACTTCATCATGTTTAATCTATTAAACCTGCTGCGAGAGCCATAACTTGGAGGTTTTTCTAAATGAACTGTGGGGATCCAGAATTTAGAATTTTTTAATCTAAACTTTATGCTGCATAAAACAGTATCAGAAATGCATATTTCATAGTATAAAATACAAAACACTCACTTTTACACATTATTACCTAAGGTAATATATGCACCTTTTAGAAATTCGTTGTGTGTTCAAGTAAAGCATATTAGAATAATTATAGGTTGACAGATTTTTCCCCCCCTAGAATTAAATAAGAGTATTTGTGTGGGTTTTTGTTTGTTTACAATTAATCAGACTATTATGTT